ATACTCAATAACAAAAGCACTGTAATAAAACTACTTAAGATTTAATTATTATTTTAACTACAATGCTTTGTCAAGGGTGTAACTCCACTATCTTCAGTGATATAATTCTCCATACATATTAAGTGTGCCCAAGATTTAAATTCTCATTATCCACACATTCAGAATTGTGTAAAGAAAAAACAAAGGACATCTGGGTTAAATCAAATTAAAATAGTCTGAACCCTGAGATAAGTAGAAAGTTTGCAAAGGGACTGGAAAGTAAATGCAGAAATCCTCTAGAACAAAGATAAAAAAATGTTTGCTTTGTTACAGCCAAGTAATGAAGGCAAACTTCAGCAACCACCTAACACTTAACTGCCTGTATATAAACACTTGAATTTATTGTTCCCACACCTGTTGCTATTCAGTAAGTACCAACAGCGTGGAGACCACCTGTGAAATGGGACAAAACTTTAAATCAACAGTACCTTCAATTTTAAGGTGGAAAGGTAAGCAGCAAATTACCCAATCTGATCTTGAAACAACTCTCTTCCTCAAACAACTCCACTAACAGAGGATTTGGGAAACAACATTAATGTTACAAACATGTAAGTTACTGTAATAATCCATACTGAAATGTCACTTTGAGGTTACATTCACATGGGAGGATCAGCAGCACTGGAAAGAATAAAAGACGACATCATAACACAGTCAAACAATTAACATCTATCATGGGAAATATGCAGTAAGGAAGGAAATAATAGTTATTTCTGGTGTTTCAAACAACTGATCAATTAGAAAGGTATTTAATAGAACCACTTGCACCTGCAAACCCCAAAGATGGTAAGAGTCCACACGAGCAAATTAAACCAGTAATAAAGAACGGGCTATGCTCTCTGGCACATTCATACTACTAAACTCTTTCAGCTTCCAAACTAGGGTGGCTGTATCCAAACCGGCCATAGAGAACGTCGGCTAAATCCTCCCTTGTGCTGCCGGATTGTCTGCGTGAGCATCAGCTGTCCTGGGCAAAACCGCTCCACGCTGTGCTCCAGCAAGTTCACAATACGAGGACCGCGTTCCCGTGACCAGGAACACTTTTTGCGCTGTTTAGCTCCCCAGCACTGACACAGAGGTTTGATTATCCACGTTTCACACTGCAGCTACCTACCAAGGCATATTTTCAGAATCATAACGGCAATCGTGTGTTCATAAAGTTTTTCATAAACATATGACTGTCAAGCTAAAGAAATGGCCACGGCTTGCCATGTACTTGGCACCAAAAGTTGAGCCGAAGACATGGTTCTGTAGACCGGAGGCAATTAGATGTGGTGATACGGATGGCAGACCACAGAGAGGACACCACTGTGTGAAGCTGCACTTCCCAAGTGCCTTAAAGCAAATTTCACTGCCAGCCTCTCCTCTACTACTCTCTCTCCAAACTCCCCTGCTGCTGCCTCCCCACATCTCTCCCCAACGCTCTCCCAGCTCTAGTAATCAGAAAATAAAAACAAACTAAAAAGCACAGTAGAACTCACTGACGGCTGAAATGATGGTCTTTGTTTACCTGAAGAGAAACTCTCAGCTCCATATTTTTAATAACCTTCCACAAAAATCTTTATTTTAAATCAATAATTCTTTCACTATCTTGTTCATCTTGTACTTTCAATCAGAACGCAACGCTGAACTGAGCTGGAAGCTCCAGTACCAAGCACATCCAAATTCTTGCCCTCTCTGATCAGATGGAATCATCTTCCAGTTCATGTTCTAATGTTTAATACTAACGTTAACTGGAGGGAAAAAGAGGGCTTAAGAATAAGTGAGAGTGGCTTCTCTTAAAAAATAATTACATAAACCACAGCACAAAGTCTGATCAACAGTTTTAGTACAAAGGCTACCACAGAATCAGCAATAGCGGAAGACTTTAAACCTTGTTTAACGGTTAACAACAGCAGTTGCAGCAATTCTACAAAACGCAGATTCAGGAGTTGTCAGGAGTTCAACTCTTTGCTGTTCCTTTTCAAAGTTCACATTTTAAAAATCATATTGAAGGTCATATAACCACTGTTCAAACCAAAGCAATAGCCAAAAGAGTAGCAATGACTATTTAATTTATTTCAGACAGTAACATACCACTCAATTTTGAACAACCCAGACATTTGATCATTTATTTTAAACCCCGTTGCACGACTGAATAATCCAGATGGGCACATGATCTGGGAAATTCTGGGCAACTTCAACTGATGCAGCAGTGCACGAATGATGAAAAGCAGCTTTGCTACATTCCTTGGAACCATTTATATTTTCTTGTGTTACTGACACCTTGTATTTTAACCCAAGTCTTGAAAAAATCCACTCCACAATTAAGAAACTTCTTCAGCTATCTCATTAATTTTTCCAGTATCTAAGCTAAAATTTGGAATAAAGCAACAGAAAAAGAAATTTCTTTATGGTATAACTGTGAACTCAATTATCCACGTCTGATCTAAACAGACTTTTTTGAAGCTACAGTCACTGCTCTGTGTCAAGAGGCATCCCTAATGGCAAAACGCCCACTGCTCGAGAGATGCAGACAGCTTAGGATGCCAGGATGCCAATATTATCAGAGAGCATATTTATGAGAGAAACTCGTCTGAGAACTACCCCAGAAGTGGGCTTTCCTCAACAGGTACAAATGCCTGAATTCTCTTGAGTGAGGATCCTTTGGCAAACATCCTTAGACTGGGTACCAGACGGGGTACTGCTTCTCTCTATAGAATTTTCTGTTGCTTTTTGCTTTTATGGGGGCTGGAGTCCAGATTATAGCCTCCTGCACCCTCCCCTACAGAAGTGGACTCTATTAATGAGAGCGGCCTTTCACCTCTCTTGCATGCAATTTCAGAAAGTCAGCAAAAACTGAGCTGGGGGAGGGAGAGGTCTAAAGAGAAGTCTACACCGAAAAGCAGTGCAGACATAACTGTGATAATGAACATTGCAACATCTCACTTCTTGGTGCCCAACTCCCAAACTGCAACCTGCAACGCTCTGTTATGAAGCATGGGACATGCTGGGTCCTCTAGCTTACAAGAGAATTCAAACCAGCCTGCATACAGGAGGGCAAGTGAGTAACCCAGCCAACACAAATGCTGAAAGAAAGATGTAACTTGCACAGTGTCCTTTGCCAGGACTTAGACCCTCTAACTTCAGGTGATGTAGAGGTGCTCAGGTCAGATCATGACTCACTAAATCTCTTTAGAGGCAACTAAGAGTTCCTTTTTTGAAAAATAAGAGTGAGGCTTTTCCCTGAAAGCCCAGTAAAAATAGAAGGTAACAGCAGTACCTCTTTCTTACCAGAATCCTAAAGAAGAGGAATAGTTCAAAAGTTACAGCCAGGTGCTGCTGAAAATGCTTCAGGTGCTGATTCACTGGGAGAGAAAAAAAGATTTGAAACACACAGGGCCCTAGATCTCCATTCTTCAAAGCAGTCCACTCACAGCCTGATGTCAAGCTGTCAGTGCCCTGTTCTGGGAAATGAGATGTAAGCTGGAACACCTTGAGGTTGAGAAAAGTACCTGCTGCTACAAAATGGGGAGAACAGCAGCTTCTCTTCTTCCTACATGTTTATAAACCAAAGCACCCATGGCTGCTTGTTTGTTTTTGCAGAGCTGAGTTCTTTTGAAGCGTTTCCCATGCTGCTTTGATAGAGAAATACTTAGGGATCCTGTTAGGCCTCTTTATTCCTCAAATAACGCATTGGTCCTTTTTGGGGCTCCTTTGCCTGAACAAAATCAGATTTTTCTTTTCCTCGAGCAATGCCCACCACAACAGCTGTTATGCTGGCTTAGGAGAAAAGACAGGAAATTAACTACCCTCTGATTAGGCAAAGGTGACCTATTCTACTTTAAAACTACAACACATTGGCAAAGCAACAGCAGAAAGGCAAACCCAGATACTACCCAAATTTTAATTGCTCTGGCAAAGAAAAGAACACAATGCGTTCTCTAGGGATGTCAATCATGGCAGTATAATTAGTTCAAATGAGAGGCACTAATAGATTTTTAGGGGAAGAAAGCATTTTTGCGCGATGGCAAAAGAGCACGTCAGACTGATCAGGGTCATTAAGCAATGGTATTCCTCTATTTGCACTACGTTTGCTACCACAGTTCGAAAGAAGCTGCACAGCTGATGACTGGGAGAAGTATGATGCAATGCCCTTACACCAAATGTTAACAAAGCCACTTGCCAAGTTTTCCCACTCCGAAGTAGCTTCCACCAGTAAATATCTATTTAAATCACAGTGAAAAAGATCTTTGTCTGCACTATGATTTTTTTCCTACTGCAACTATAAAAACAAATTGAACGCTGGAGAAGGCAAATCATGGCAACACTACAAGATACTTTTTTTTTTTTTTGCTTATAAATGTACGTCCCGCTTGTAGCCTAGCAACAAAAGCAGCAGTCTGTGTTAAATTGATAAAGCCTGCTGCTGGGGCTCTCTCCTCAAAACAGCAGCCATCTTTGGCGTGTAACTTGACAGACTTCATCATTCTGCATTAAAGCTACCTCCAGATGTCAGAGGTTGCCGCAGCCAGCTCAGCAGTGTCGGCTTTTGATTTGCCACCTCTCCTCCCATCGCATGAGGAATATCGCAGAGACGTGTCACTTTATCTCTCCATTAAGAAAAAATAAAGCTTCTTTGCTAAAAAGTGTTAGTGCAAGCTCCTACTTTATTTCAGTTCTGATTGCCGTGGGCTTGTCTCCGCTCCTTACTTTTTAACCTCCCTGGTAAACTGAAGTAGGATTGTCTGGCTCTACCCAGGCATGTTCATGGCCCTTTTCTGTAGTTTGTCACTGTTTCATGTATCTTTTTCTGATAGGATCCATACAGGTGATTTTTTTAATTGCACAAAGCCAGTCTTCACCCCTGCCCCACTCTACCAATACCCATTATAATCACAATAAATTATTTATAATTCAATAAGCTAAAAAACCCCGCAATACTCAAAATTAAAATCCCTGCTTCTGGCTACCAGGTGTCTGACCTCCAAGGTATTTGGTGTATTCCTCCCCTGGAAAGGACAATCCCCCAGCAGGGAGGCTTGTTTCCCACAGGCCTGGGATCTGTGCCGCTGCCACGCACCTCCCTGTGACACACAGCCCACGCTCAGGGGACAACTCATGGTCTGGGGGAGATTTTGGGAGCGGGTGGGGAAGCGGGGAGCTGTTATGTGTGCAGGGAGGAGGCGGGTGAGCAGCCCCCAGCCAGCTGTCTGGCACTGTGAGCGTCCAGGCAGCACCTCCCAAGGCGAGGGGTGACCCACTGGGACACCGGCTCTGCTCCCACAGAGGGGATGGGGTGACACATGGGGCTGGGACCCTGCAGAGGGGACAGGGGTGACATGTGGGTCTGTGCCCTATGGAGGGGGTGAGGTGACACATGGGTCTGGACCCCTACAGAGGGGATGGAGGTGACACAGGGGGATGGGACCCTGTGGAGAAGACCGGGGTGACAAGTGGGTCTGGATCCCTATGGAGGCGGTGGGGTGCACACAGAGCTGGGACCCCATGGAGAGGACAGGGGTGATAAGCAGGTCTGGGCCTCTGCAGGGGTAACAGAGATGACAGATGGGTCTGTGTCCTTGTGGAGGGGACGGAGGTGACACGCAGGGCTGGGTCCGTGTGGAGGAGACCGGGATAGCAGATAGGGCTGGGTCCCTGTGGAGGGGAC